GGTTTATTTTTTTCTTATCTATCTTCTGGTTGATCTTCTTTTCTGCTGGTACCAGCTATGTTCATTGAGCTTTAAATTTCAGTTATTTCTAGCAGTTCTATTTGGTCACTTTTCAAATTTTCTGTTAGTTGTTACAGTTTCCTATTCTCTGAGGAATAGCTTGTCATTTCTTTCATTAAATATAATAAGCATAGTTGATCCTATAATCTACATTTGATAATTCCAACACTGCAAGTCTGTGCAGACTGGTCTCCGTGGTCTGTTGCTGGCTCTTGCTCATGTTGTGCTGTTTCCACATATGTTATGTTATCTCTGTCTGTTGGTCATTGACCTGGAAATTTTATTTTTGGTTGGTTCCTAGAGACCTGAGATAAATATGTCCTCCTCCAGATACGTATTTCACTGCTTTTGCCAGGATCTCTGGAGCTCCAACAGGTGTCTGCCTCAAACCAAATTTAGGGAATAAGGTTTCCTGGCCCATCCTGAGTATGGATACCCAGGATGCAAACCCATATGAAGGCCTTTTAGTGAACAAACCTTGTCAAGAACCATGGTCTGTCCCTTTCTTTGTCTCCTATTCTTTTCAATGCCAAGACTGCCTTCTTCACAACCCCCAAGGGCAGGTTTAGTTCTGGTTCACTTTTACCCTATGGGGACCCACTTTAATGGTGGAAGCGTCTCTTATTACACTTCCTAACCAGGGAAGGCTTAGGGCCTTAACTCCCACTCCACTTGCCTGCCCCTGTCAGGAGTCCCTGATTCCTGCCTGCAAATGGACTTTATCAGATAAAAAGAGAAACTATTAGAACTAGTACCTTAAAGTTTAAAAACTGGAAGCATAACAGAAGAACAGGTTAATAAGGTGGTTCCTCAAAAAAAGTAAACACCGAATTCTATTTGATTCAGCAACTCCACTTCTGGGTATATATGCAAAAAAGCAGGGACTTGAATCGACACTTGAACAAACCCATGTTCACAATAGCATTATTCACGATAGCCAAATGATGGAAACAACCCAAGCCTCCATCATCAGAAAAATGGATATATAAATGTGGTATACACATATAATGGACTATTAATTCAGCCTAAAAATGGAAGGAATTCCTGACACATGCTGCAACATAGAGGAATATTGAAGACATTATGCTAAGTGAAATAAGCTAGATGCAAAAGGACAAATACTGTATGAGTCTACTTACATGAGGTACCTGGAGTAGTCAAATAGAAAGAGAATGGTGGCTGGCGGGAGAGGAACGGGGGGGTTAGTGTTTAATGGGTAGAGTTACAGTTTGGGATGATGGAAAAGTTCTGGAGATAGATGGTGGTGATGGTTGTATGACAATGTAAATATGCTTAATGCCACTGAACTTAAAAATAGTAACAATGTATTTTTACCACTATTGAAATTAAAAAAAAGGTCAGGCTAATTTTGCCAAGGGCTGGTAGACCTACTAATAAGTAAATTTCATAATATATCTTGTGTTCACAGGCTTAATACTGATCAGTGAAAGACTTAGAAGTTAATTGCTGGGTGTCGTAATAGCAGCCTGACCTCTCTATAGCTTTAGAGGCCATATGCCAAACTTTATCAATATGCAAAAAACATATATATAATTACAAATTTCCCTTAAAAAATATAAGAGCAATACATTTCCTTTAAGGGTATCAGGCACCAGAAATGGTACAATGATAGTTATTTTGGGTGTTGATCAATAATACTGATGGAACTGCTAGGTAAATATGAAAAAATAGAAGGGATAAGAAAAATAATTCTCTATAAAGTATTTCCATTGGAAAAGTAAAGAAATTTCTTCTTTTAGTATCTGTATAACACTGCCATGTTGCTGTACTTCTCCTTTCTGAGTTACTACACATAAGTGTGACAGATTATCTATATGTAACTAAACATAGTGAAGCATGAGATAAACTTATGGTTAACATATTTTAAAACACTAAATTTTAAAAACATGCATTTTAGTAATTCTGGGAGTCTCTAAATTTATTCTATTTAAAAATAAATGAAATTGAGTTCAGTTCAGAAGACTTCATGGACATTTCTGGGTATAAATACCACAAAATAAAAAATTGTCAACAGAAGAAGTAACATTCTTCATTATGACATAATGAATGATGTGTGTTGAGGGTCACTACATTGCAAATACAGAAACTTACCAACATATCTATGAATATGTTCATTCCAAATGAATAGCAACACGATAGCTTAAGTACATAAAAAAGACCTCAGGAAAGTCAATTGGGAAGACTTCTCCTACTTTACACATACAAAGATAATGGCTAATACTTGCTCACTGCTTACAATGTGCCAAGCAGTGTTCTAAGTGCTATATACCTATATCTATATCTATCTAAAGACCTGTATCAGTATCATCTATATCTATACCTATATTTTTATTTACATTAATCCATTTACTCCTTGCAAAAACCCTCTTAGGTACATACCATTATTCCCACCTCAAAGATAGGAAAACTGAGGCAAAGGGGAATGTGGGCTTCCCTGTGGTCCCACAGCTGGTGAGTGGTGGAGCTGCGATGTGAGTCCAGGCTCTAGGGCCCACACTCTTAACTACTGTGCTCTGGGCCTCTCCACATCAATATGGAATTTCAGGGAAAATGGCCAGTGTTAGACACTTCACATATTCTACACAATTAAAATTTTGATAGCCAGATTATCTGCTTTTTTACAGCTCAGGAAACTAAGGCTCAGCAAGATTAAGTTTATACAGAAATCAAAGATAATAAGAGATAAGAGATGGAGGTGGGAGTGGGCCCGCTTTGTTCTGTCTCCAAAGTTTCAGGATCTAGTGCAAAGAATGATGTTCCTGTGGGCAGAAGTTATGCAAGGAGGTTGGTAAAGCAAAATGAAGGAGGCTTTGCTTGGGCAGGAAGCAGAAAGAAGCACACGCCTATAGAACAGAATCACAGAGTGAGCTGGCACCTGGGGGCTGAGGGCTGCTGGGTTGTGGGGGCAGAAGAGGCGATAAGAGGTTAGCAGGTAGCCCCTGGTGTTCCACTCCCCCCAAGGTTCCAGAGTCCCTAATCTGCCTGGTCCTCATCTCCCTGTATTTCTAGACTTCTGTTTAACCAGCAGACACACGTAGTGCCTCTCAAGCTATCCATCTCAGGTGACCCTTGCACACTCTCAGGTGACCCTTGCACACAGGTTCCTGTTCTAATACTGGATGGATCAGAAGGACCCATTATATTCTTCACACTGAAAGGGCAAAGAGGCAAAGTTTGCACTCAGACCACTAGTTTTTTTTAGTGCTAATGTTCTTCTATTTATAGTAAAGGTATTTGCTTTTTTAATTTGCTGTACCTTTGTGACATGAAGCACCAAATACCAATTACTGTGGTTACTACTTCTGACACCACCGTTAATCACCACTTACCTTTGGCAGGGCACTGTGCACAGGCCATATATAATTTAAACCCCACAAAAATCTGTATCACAACTTCTGCAGAATAGCAAGGACCTGCATCAGAATTGCTTTATGTACTAGCTAAAGAATGGACGCTCCTGAACTTCAACTTAGCCCTATTCAACCAGAATCTTTAGGGGAGGGCCAGAAAACCAGTATTTTAAGAATCGTTCCAAGTAATTCTTGTCTTGGTATGTATAGCCCTGTTTTATGTACAAGGTATTAAGAAGTCAAGTGACTGCCAAAGATAACATCACTACATAGATGGTTCTGACTCCATTGAACCTGAGCTCATAACTGCTCAGTAATTCCAGCTTCAACAGTTTTAAGCACACGCCTATAGAACAGAATCACAGAGTGAGCTGGCACCTGGGGGCTGAGGGCTGCTGGGTTGTGGGGGCAGAAGAGGCGATAAGAGGTTAGCAGGTAGCCCCTGGTGTTCCACTCCCCCCAAGGTTCCAGAGTCCCTAATCTGCCTGGTCCTCATCTCCCTGTATTTCTAGACTTCTGTTTAACCAGCAGACACACGTAGTGCCTCTCAAGCTATCCATCTCAGGTGACCCTTGCACACTCTCAGGTGACCCTTGCACACAGGTTCCTGTTCTAATACTGGATGGATCAGAAGGACCCATTATATTCTTCACACTGAAAGGGCAAAGAGGCAAAGTTTGCACTCAGACCACTAGTTTTTTTTAGTGCTAATGTTCTTCTATTTATAGTAAAGGTATTTGCTTTTTTAATTTGCTGTACCTTTGTGACATGAAGCACCAAATACCAATTACTGTGGTTACTACTTCTGACACCACCGTTAATCACCACTTACCTTTGGCAGGGCACTGTGCACAGGCCATATATAATTTAAACCCCACAAAAATCTGTATCACAACTTCTGCAGAATAGCAAGGACCTGCATCAGAATTGCTTTATGTACTAGCTAAAGAATGGACGCTCCTGAACTTCAACTTAGCCCTATTCAACCAGAATCTTTAGGGGAGGGCCAGAAAACCAGTATTTTAAGAATCGTTCCAAGTAATTCTTGTCTTGGTATGTATAGCCCTGTTTTATGTACAAGGTATTAAGAAGTCAAGTGACTGCCAAAGATAACATCACTACATAGATGGTTCTGACTCCATTGAACCTGAGCTCATAACTGCTCAGTAATTCCAGCTTCAACAGTTTAGCTTGCGACTAAAAAATGGCACAGTGTAAGCAAGGTTGCCTTTAGAACCTGTGAGATCTACAGCACCAATCTGCACAATGTCATACGATTTCCCAAACTATTATTCTCTGTAAGCACAAAGAAAGGTTTCTTATTTTAAGTTTTTAAACATTAACAATGCATTCTACTTCCCCTGCACTCATAACAGTTCATTTCATTTCAACACGATGTAGGCCTCTTTTTGGCAATTTCAACGCTTCATCAAATGTGACTGCCCGCATTAGGAGAGCAGCCCATCCTCGCGGTAATTAGACAGACATGGGGAACCTAAAGTAGAATAAATCTGCAAGGGATTTGCACATGACCAGAGTGGCAGAACTGTAACAGTAGCTATTCTTTACCACAAGATGTTGACTTTCTGTCCACCACATTCACACGTCGGGTTTCAGTCCGGAGTTTCTCGTCTGTATTCTCCACCAGGTTGGTGAGGTCATCAATTATCTCTAGAAAGGAAAAGAATGAGGCGTGGTTAATATTCTACCAACACCCTGGCTCACATCAGAGTATCACAGCTGTGGCTGTCCTTCGTAGTAATAATTCTCTAAGTGTAGTGCGTGCAAAGGTAAAGAACCCATGTTTATTCCTTGAAAACTGCAGCTCTGATCCATAAAGATGGGTGTGCGTATGTAGTAGTAAAGAAACAAATTGGTTTAACACAATTCCAGGAGATAGAGAAATGTCAAAGGTTCAGGAAAAGAAAGCATGACTCAATAAATTTATGCCTGGCACAGTTGTCATCCTAGTATAAAAGTGACCAAAAGACAGTATAGAAGATGTCAGGGGCTACTGAGGTCCTTCTTGAGAAAACTACTTGATGAAATCTAGCCAACCAAGAGGTGAATATGAATAAGGAACTCTAAAATGTGAAGCCAGACACCATGACATAAGAAATGATGTGAGAACAGAACACATCTAAATAGTGAGCTGAGAATAAACAAATATATGGGTTAGGTTCCAGAAAGGTAGATAAATGTTATAAACAGTGATGATGTAATTGTAACTGAAAATCAGGAAACAGTTGTGGGGGTGCAGGGAGGAGGGGAAAAAGAAGGTGAAGGTGTTAATTTCTTCTTCATTCACAGCAGAGTCATATCGAGCTATTGAAAAGTAAAACTTATACAGAGAGACTTACAGCTTTATAAAATCACCAAAGCTGCAATGTTTTATGTAATTTGTTTTGTTAGCCTTAGATGGATCCTTTACTAATTACTATCTCTTATAAAGACTCCTTTATGTGAAGTTTATCTTTTTTTTTACACTAATCTTCTTAAAGTGAAACTGAGTGCTTAAAATAGCCTATATATTCTGACCCTAATAATGTAAAGTTATTTCTATCTATCTTTTTATATGTACAAACCTATAAGGATATATCTGGATGATGTCAACCTAAGGTGAATAATGATTTTTTCTATGTAGTGGGATCCTGGGTGATCTTCCTCGCATTTCCTGTATTGTTTGAGTTTCTTATGACAAGTATATATTATTTCTTCAGTTTTGGTTTTCTTTCCATCCCCTTTCCCTCCCTTCCTCTTTTTATTAGTGATTGCTTTAGAGATAATGTTGTCTAATACACGCCATCATTTTTCTTAAAGGATTATATAAAACAAACAGGGAAGTCAAAGAAAGTTTCCAGAATGACATGAATGACATGATAGCTGAGTTTTGGTGCGTAAAGCAGAAGGGCAATCCAGCTAAAGGAACAGCATGTGAGACACACAGAGGAGCTCAGTGCTCTTCAGACCTCCTGCAGCACTTCCTACAGTCTTTTTCCTTATAGACCCTTCTATTTTGTATTACAAGTATTTGTTTGCTTGTGTTTCTTTTGCAGAAAGAGTATGATGGAAACTTCTATTCATCATATATCTCCCACTTCTAAGAGAGTGCCTTGTATACAGCAAAATAAATACTAAATATATTTTCTAAATACTAAAAGACAAAGTCAGTGAATAAATGGAGTCTAAAAGACAGACACACTGAATAATTTCAAAGGACTTTGCTGCTTCTTAGAAAAGTGAATCTATGACAGATTGGCCAAATATTATACACATGACACCTGCTTAGAAGATCTTTCACTATTGGCAATTCATTCATAACTCTGTTCCCTCATATTTAGTGACATACTCTGAGTTTTCCTTCTCTCTATCTCTAAGCTCTGTTTGGAGTCTCCTCTTCTTCTTTCCAAAGATCTATGTATTTTTACTCTATAATACTACTATGGTGATTTTAGGATATGTCCTTTGGAGTGAGTGGTGTGTTGAAGTCTCCCAAAATGAATGCATTGCATTCTATTTCCTCCTTTAATTCTGTATTTGTTTCACATATGTTGGTGCTCCTGTATTGGGTGCATATATATTTATAATGGTTATATCCTCTTGTTGGACTGAGCCCTTTATCATTATGTAATGTCCTTCTTTATCTCTTGTTACTTTCTTTGTTTTGAAGTCTATTTTGTCTGATACTAGTATTGTAACACCTGCTTTTTTCTCCCTTTTGTTTGCATGAAACATCTTTTTCCATCCCTTGACTTTTAATCTGTGCGTGTCTTTGGGTTTGAGATGAGTCTCTTGTAATCAGCATATGGATGGATCTTGCTTTTTTACCATTCTATTACTCTGTGTCTTTTGATTGGTGCATTCAGTCCATTTACATTTAGGGTGACTATTGAAAGATATGTACTTATTGCCATTGCAGGCTTTAAGTTTGTGGTTACCAAAGGTTCAAGGTTAGCTTCTTTACTATCTTACTGTCTAACTTAACTCGCTTATTGAACTATTATAAATACTGTCTGATGATTCTTTATTTCTCTCCCTTCTTATTCCTCCTCCTCCATTCTTCATATGTTGGGTGTTTTGTTCTGTGCTGTTTAGGAGTGCTCCCATCTAGAGCAGTCCCTGTAAGATGCCCTGTAGAGGTGGTTTGTGGGAAGCAAATTCCCTCAACTTTTGCTTGTCTGGGAATTGTTTAATCCCTCCTTCATATTTAAATGATAATCATACTGGATACAGTATTCTTGGTTTGAGTCCCTTCTGTTTCATTGCATTAAGTATATCATGCCATTCTCTTCTGGCCTGTAAGGTTTCTGCTGAGAAGTCTTATGATAGCCTGACGGGTTTTCCTTTGTAGGTGACCTTTTTTTCTCTCTGGCTGCCTTTAATACTCTGTCCTTGTCTTTGATCTTTGCCATTTTAATTATTATGTGTCTTGGTGTTGCCCTCCTTGGGTCCCTTGTCATGGGAGTTCTGTGTGCTTCTGTGGTCTGACAGGCCATTTCCTCCCCCACTTTGGGGAAGTTTTCAGCAATTATTTCTTCAAAGACACTTTCTATTCCTTTTTCTCTCTCTTCTTCTTCTGGTACTCCTATAATGCAGATATTGTTCCATTTCGATTGGCCACACAGTTCTCTTAATATTCTTTCATTCGTGGAGATCCTTTTCTCTCTCTCTGTGTCAGCTTCTCTGCGTTTCTGTTCTCTGTTTTCTAGTCCATTAATGGTCTCTTGTATCTTGTCCATTCTGCTTTGAAGTCCTTCCAGAGATTGTTTTATTTCTGTATTCTCCCTCCTTAGTTCTTGCATATTTCTCTGCAAGTCCATCAGCATGGTTATACTTTTGTTTTGAATTCTTTTTCAGAAAGATTGGTTAAATCTATCTCCCCAGATTTCTTCTCAGGGGAGGATGTGGAAGATGTCTGAGTTAGTCTGGTCTGGATCAAATTTTTTTGCCTTTTCATGTTGATAGATGCAGTGGTATGCTGTTGATTCATGTGTCAGGTGGGAGAACCAAGACCCTTTCCACTTGCTCCTGGCCTTTCTTTACTGGGACAATGGCGACCCCTAGCGGCTTGTGCTGGGCAGTTGCGCATAGACTGGGTCTCTGTTTCTTGCCCGACCGCTATGGTGGAAGCTCCCTTGCTGTGGGTGTGACCAGCCTCAGGCTGCTTCTCTGCAATGGCGGGGCGCCGTAAGGGGAATGGGTGGGGGGCTGTTTATCGCCATGAGGGGTCTCAGAGCTGCTGCCCAGGGGGTTAGTGCACCCGGAATTCCCCGGGATTCCCAGCTGCTAGGCTAAGTGTCCCAGGATGCTCCCGTCTAGCTGTGGGGTCCCTGTACCTTTAAGACTTTCAAAAAGCACTTGCTTTTCTTTGTCCTGGGGGCACTGGCTGCAGGGACCCCCTTGCAGGTTTTACCGTCCCGTTTCGCTAGTTTCCTGTGCTCCTCGCACTGTGTGTCTGTGCTCTGGGTGCGGATGGCTAGGGCTGGGTGTTTAGCAGTCCTGGGCTCCCTCTCCCTCCCTGCTCCGACTCCTCTCCTCCCGCCGGAAGCTGGGGTGAGGGGCCTTGGGTTCTGCTGGGCTGCGGATTGTATCTTACCCCCTTCACAAGGTGCTGGGTTCTCGCAAGTATGGATGTAGTCTGGCTGTTGTCCTGTGTCTTCTGGTTTCTCTTTTAGGGATAGTTGTATTTGTTGTATTTTCAAAAATATGTATGGTTTTGGGAGGAGATTCCCACTGTCCTACTCACGGTGCCATCTTGGCTCGGCCTCTATGGTGATTTTATATAACTTTTCGTTCATCAGTATCTTTACTTACATTAAAAACCTGAAAAATTCCTGCTCTACATAATCCTCCAAAATTTCTGACCTGGACAGCCAACTGCCTATTACTTATCTCTGTCTTGAAATTCGTACACATATCTGCTTCTCAAAGTCTCTAAAACTGACCTTTCCATCTTCCCCTAAATCTGACACCCCTCCCACATTCCCTGTCTCAATTAACAGCAGAAAAATTAAATTTCTTGCCCAAGCTAGAAGGGTCACTAGGCCTTCCCCCTTCCCCTTCTCCTAACATTCCATTTACTAGCCACTCCAGCTGATTCTACCTCCTTAGTATCTATCTCTCAATCCTATGATTTCTCTTAAATTCTGTTACTAATATTACATGAAAATTTTCCAGTGTTTCTAAAACAGTGTCCTAACTCTTCTGCCTCTTTGCATTTCTGAATCCTTTTAATCAATTCTCCATGCATAACCAGGGACATATTTTAATATTCTCATAATTCAAATTAAAATTTAAATAGTCACATGTGCCTGGTAACTATTTATTGAACAACATAGCTCTAAAGCAATCACTTTAAAAAAAAACAGGAAAGAAGGAAAAAAGAAAGAAAAGTAAAATACCCCTCCCTCCCACCAAGAAGTAGAGGTTAAAAAAAAAATCATTAGAGGGAATAAAATTAAATACTAAAATAAAATGATAAAAGAAGGCAAGAAAGGCTGTACAGAGAAACAAAGAACAGATAAGACAAAAGAATATAACTTTCTAGTTTGCAGCCTTAAACCCAACTCTACCAACAGTCATATTAAATATAAATGGACTAACTCCTCAATCAAAAGACAAGGAATGTCAGGCAGGATTTAAAAAAAGGAACTATATGCTTTCACAAGAAA